TTTTTTATGGATTCTTCTCAGTGTTGTTGGGGTAAATAATAAATTCAGGTTTTATAAATGAGTTACATACAGGTTTAAATATTCTCAATTGAAGGTTTAGACCTACTTTCACTTCTGCAACATGCTGGTGAGGCATTAAGTCCCAGGACGGGTGTTTGCCTAACCCTTGTCCAGCTCTTCATGTTCTGGAAACTCGTTCTTCTCAAATTTATTTGAGTACCACAAAGCCACTTAAAGTTCATGCTCTTCTCTTAGCTCTTCCATGTTCCTGATGGGGCTGTGGTACTGTTGCCGTGCTCTTTCTCCATAATGGGATGCTATGGACTCATCTGCCTTGATGTTGCCCTCAGTTATGGCTTCTCCATCATGCTAGATGTAGGGTTTCTACTGGAAGCTGGATGTCTCCTAAGGCTATCCTCTGGTTTGAGCCACATAGCATCATTAAACTTATCTGGTGTTTTATCACCATCAACTCGTCACCCTGAAAGCATTCTCATTCTGGAAGGGGATAGGATATAGTGTCTCTTGGGCCTACACTGTCCATTTTTTCTAGCTCAATCTCTATTCCATCTTTTCCTCCACCAACCTCTTAACTGCAGCAACTTTCTCAGAAGACAGAAGGTGGGTCCCTATATAAGGCAATCAAGGATTGGCTAGGCATGATTCTCCCCAAGCACTTATATCTGTCAGAGATTGATAAAGTCTATTGTGAAGCTCAAAAGTAAATAAAATGTATTTCTGTAATTTTTTTTTCTCTCTGCATAACATATCTTGAGGGCAGAACATAGGATTCTTTAGTGGTAGAGAGAGGTAATGGGTACAAAAAAACACAGGTTGGTAAAACAAGCAAACATCTTGCTTACTACCTTGAAATTGTTTTCCTCTGCAGTTAAAAAAAATATGGATATCATGCTTAGGATATAGTATGTTGAATGTGAAACTATGTTTCATAAGCCTGAAAATACCAGCTGGTTTGTGTGAGAAGTAGACAAATGTAAGAATAGAGAGATTGTTAGGGAGGTGACTTGCCGCTGGATATCTCAGTAACCGTTTACTCTCCCCAACCCACTTCTCTTACAGTTTTTCTTCTTTTTTTCTCTATTTATTTATTTCTTTTGATGTAGTGTTCCATGATTCATTATTTGTGTATAACACCCAGTGCTCCATTCAATACGTGCCCTCTTTAATACCCATCACCAGGCTAACCCATCCACCCACCCCTGTCCCCTCTAGAACCCTCAGTTTGTTTCTCAGAGTCCATAGTCTCTCATGGTTCGTCTCCCCCTACAACGTCCCCCCCTTTATTTTTCCCTTCCTACTATCTTCTTTTTTTTTTTTTAACATATAATGTATTATTTGTTTCAGAGGTACAAGGCTGTGATTCAACAGTCTTACACAATTCACAGCGCTCACCATAGCACATACCCTCCCCAATGTCTATCACCCAGCCACCTCATCCCTCCCACGTCCCACCGCTCCAGCAACCTTGTTTGTTTCCTGAGATTAAGAATTCTCTTACAGTTTTTCAAACTCATTAATAGTAGCACAATCCTTCCAACAGCTTGGGTGGAGAACTTGGTGTCTCCCTTAACTACCCTCTCTCTTCCTCTTTGTGTCCGATTGGTCAGCAGATCCTGTTGGCCCCACCTTCAGAGTATATCCAGATTCTGCCTGCTTCCTACATTTCCACTGCTACTGCTCTAATCCAAGCCATGTCATCTCTCCTCTCATTAATTGCAATATTCTACCAAATGGTCTTCCTGCTTCCACCCTTATACCTTTTAAAATCAGTTCTCCACAGCCAGTGTGATTGGATGAAAATATAAATCAGTTCGTGTTATTTCTCTGTTCAAAATGACTTCTCATCTGACTCCAAGGAAATGCCGGAACCTCACTATGAACTGAAGGGCTTTCTCCAGTCCTCCCAGCTCATCACCATTGCTTCTCTAACCTCTCCTAGTTCTTGCCCCTTTGCTCACTCAGCTTCGGCCACATTAACCTCCTTGTGGTACTTCAAACATAGAGCCTTGCTCTTGCCTCAGAGGCTTTGTTCTTGTTCTTCCTGTTGGGGTCTGCTTGGCTCACTCCCCCTTCTCCTTTGGGTCTTTGTTCAAACATTACCTTCTCAAAGAGACCTATTCTGGCAAGCTGTTGAAAATGAATTCTTTTCCCCTACAGCCTCCTCTCTCCCGGTGCCCTGCTCTATTTTTCTTTGTTGTGTTTATCACTGCCTATTAAGATTTACATTTTATTTATAGTCTGTGTCTTCCCATTAGAATGAAAGCTCCCTGAGGCAGTGACTTCTGACTGTTTTATGCACTACAAAATTCTAAGCCCCAAGATGAATGTCTGACACATGGTAGGCCTTCAGTAAATATTTGTCGAATGGATGAATGATTAGTATAACTGCCAGACTACATGGATGTATCCCACAGCAAGTTGGGAGTAGAAAGTATTTTGAGCAAGGGTCCCATTGACACACATGTTCTATGAGGTTTGCTATGGTATCAATGTCCAGGTTGGACTGGAAGAAAGAGAAACTAGAAGTTTGGAGATTAGTTAAGAAAAAGTGAAGGTCTAAATTGGAATTGTGACAATGTGAGGGGTTGTTGAGAGACATTTGGAGGGAAAATCCCTGGTATCTGGGCATGGTGGAAGTGGAGCATAGAGGAGTGGCTATAAAGATGCAATGGAGATAGGAGAATTTAGGAAAAACCAGTTTGAGAGAGAAAAGGGAAGATGACTTTGTTTTCAGGTTTATTTTTCATTTTGATAAAATGTACATAACTCAAAATTTACCAGTTTTAAGGGTATAATTCATTGGCATTATGTACATTCATACTGTTGCACAACCATCACCACTACCCATCTCCAGAACATCTGTATCTTCTCATAGTGAAACTCTGAGCCCATTAAACAATAGCTCCTTGCTCCCCAGTCCCTGTAACCCCCATTCTACTTTCTGTCTCTACGAATTTGTCTATGCCAGGTATCACATATAAAAGGAATCCTACAATATCGGTTCTTACGTCTTCTTATTTTACATACGATATCTTTAAGGTCCATCTGTGTTGTAGCATGTGTCAGAATTTCATTCCTTTTTAAGGCGAAATATTCCATTGTATGTGTGTCCTACATGTTGTTTGTCCATTCATCTTGATGGTGGACACTCGGTGTTGCTACCTGTCATGAATAATGCTACTATGAACATTGGTATACAAACATCTGTTCTAGTCTCTGCTTTCGTTTCTTTTGGTTATATGCTCAGGATTGGCATTGCTGGAATTGTTTAATATTTTGGGGGAACCACCACCTTGACTTTGGATTTAGACAAACTGTTTGAGGTGGTGGAAAGTCTAACAGTTGGGACTAGAGCATGAGTAAAATCAACTGTAGCCAGAGATTTCATCTCAAGGAACTCAACAGACGGGATGGCTGAAGGAGAGTGAATTAGCTTAAGAAAGGGAAAGAAAAGATTTTAGCCAAGGATTGCATCTTAGGAGGGAGGAGGAGCTATGCGAGCTCGTCAATGAGACAGAAAAAGAGCAAGTGGAGTTAGAAACAGAACCTGTTAGCTCAAACTCATCCATATTCATTGAGAACTCTTTCAGATGAATAAGCTTCTATTTAAGCATGACATTACTTTCAAGGGTTCGGGTGTTGTAAGTCACAGATCACTACTGAGTGTTGAATGTTTGAGACACAGCTACTTTTCAAAAAGGTCCTAGAAGTACCTAAAAAAAGCAGAGGATTTCTATGTTCCTTAGTTGGCTGTTCTTCACTCCCTGTTTTGCATTAGTAATTTCACAGTAACTTTTCTTTAACCTTTTATTGAAATATGATATACCTTAAGAAAAGTGAACAAGCCATATGTGGACAACTCAGTGAACTCTCAGATGTTGCATAAACTTGGATATCCAATACCCAGAACAAAACAGTATCTCCCACACCCAGTTGTTCCCATCATGCCCTGCTCCCTCACCCACTCTCCCCATTATCTTGATTTCTAACACCACAGATTTATTTTACCTGTGTTGAACTTTATGTAAGTGTAAGCATGTAGTATGTACTCTTTGTGCCTGACTTCTTTCATTTAATATCATGTTTGTGAAATTCACCCATACAGTTGTGTGTTGTTGTAGTATGTATTCCACTACTTATTACACTGTTTACACCATTCATTCTCGTGTTGATTGGCATTTGGGTAGTTTCCAGTTTGGGGCTATTATGAATAGCACTACTATGGACATCAAGTTTCTTATTAAAATAGGAACTTTGCATGTTATGTTCCCCTCTGTAAAGTTGTTTTTGCTTATTTCATTTAAATACCTTTCCTCCCAAGCGCCTTTCTAGACCACCTAAAATATATTTGCCTGAACATTAGTTTTGAAAGGATAAAGTGCCACAAGAAATTAGGTTTCTTCAAAATTGTATGTTCTTGCATAAAAATTTTTCCTTCTAAGCATTTAATTTTTCTGAACTATCCAGACTATGTATCTTAAATGCATTTTGAACCTGTCAAAATTTTTCATCTCTTAATGGGGTGAATTGTTCCACTTTGAGGCAAATATTTTAATTTTGGCATCATGACGAATTGGAGAAAAAAGAATAGCTCCCTCATCCTTAATGCAGATTTATTATCAAACTTAATTATAATTTACATAGCAATAAAAGGAATTGGCAATTAGCAAAAAGTGCATTGTGATATTTTGTCATTTTTCTCGTCAGGTTACAGTCTGCTTTGGTATAAAAAATCAACATTACTAATTCAAAATTGCTAAAATAGTATCAATCTGGCTATTCTAGACTTGAGTTGAAATTTGCTATATTTAATAAAGATACATACATAATATGATTTATAAATTTGTATGGGGACATGTGTCCATATATATTTCTTTCTACCTACATGTTTGTCTTTTCTCTCTATTCATTTGTCCATCCATCCATCCACCCATCTATCCATCATTCTGTTGACATACTCACGGAAACATTCCTTACAGAAAGAACAATGGAAGACCATGAGCTGGTGATTGAAGTGCTATCTAACTGGGGAATGGAAGAAGAAAATAAACTATACTTTAGAAAAAATTATGCCAAATATGAATTCTTTAAAAACCCAATGGTAAGTGAAATCCCCATTAATAGTTATGGGAAATAAATGAATTCATTAAATGTTATTTTACTTTATGTGAAGAAAAGAGTCACCATAAATCAAATACAATTCTCTATTCGGTAAATTGTAGGTAAAAATTCTGTTCCGTGAACATCATAGTTACGTTTCTTCGTACTCTAACAATGATTAGTCAGCATTATCACAGAAATTCAGATTAACCATTTTGGGGAGCTATTTCTTCTTTTTCTTTTTTCTTTTTTAATTTCTTCTTGTCTATTTTTTTAATTCTTTTTTTTTTTATTATGTTATGTGATAGACATTGGGGGGGTATGTGCTATGGTGAGCGCTGTGAATTATGTAAGACTGTTGAATCACAGAACTTTTTCTTGCTTTTTAAGAAAAAGAAGATAGTATACATTTAATTTGGGGAATCAATTATTAGATATCCTTAAGCAGCTCCAAAATATTATAGTTTAACACTTTTCATAGAATTTAGGAAATTTAAGTAAGAAAATTTCTAAAGTAAAAACAGACTGATGATTGTTGGGAGTGCTATAGCTTAGCCAAAAATTTCAGATTGACATGAATCTTGCTGTTCCAAAATATTTTTTCAGTGCAGTAATGACTGAGCTAAGTAGAAATAAGTTAAAGACCAGAGCATTATCTAATAAATACTACTTTCATGATAGTTCTCTTTAAAAGAAAAGAAATATGTGTCACATTCTAGTGAAGATCTAGGGATCTGGAGAAGTCAGAATAGCCTCTGGGCTCATTATTTTAAATTGTTTTTGTCTCTGCAGCTGTAGCATATTTTTACATGAAGTTTTGGATAATTGGATTGAAATGATCCTTTATGAAAAATATATGATACACACTATAATAGAATATTTTCAAACCCTGAAAGACCTCTTACGTTCTCTTTTATTTGAACCTATTAATAAAAACATAATGGGATGACCTTTGACAAAGAAAATAAAAGAGTCCTAATAAAAATCAAATAGAATTAGAATTTGAAGGCAAATTATTTTCTTGTTGTTAATCTTTGTTAAAAGCAAGAATTTAAAAGTATAGTTAAAGGCATATGGTTTTAGTGCTTGTTTTTGGTTATATTTTATTATTATTATTATTTGAACAAGGCTGAACACTCATTTTGTAGATCTAGAGCTGTGGTTCTCAACTGGGGGCGATTTGACAATGTCTGGAGACATTTTTGCTTGTCATTCCGGGGGTGGAGGGACAGGGGGGCTGCTAGTAGATAGAGGCCAGGAATGCTGTAACTAATACCACAGTATTAGACCAAATGGTAATAGAACCGTCGTAAAACCCCATCCTTGGAGGAAGTATAGTAGTCTATATTTTCCCAAACGTGTCTGATCATAAAAATTACCTGGGGGAGGAGAGAGGACCCAGACCTACTGAATCAGACACTCTAGGAATGAGGCTTGGGAATTCCTATTTTAAACAACTGCCCTAGGTGAATTTTATGATTGAATGACATTGAAAAGGACCTGACTTTTAGTTCCCTGGCCCTACAAGTCCTGGTTCCTTTACGTGTGGCTGTGACCTTGGGTATACCCCTTACTTCTAGGATACTTGACTTTGTGACATGGAGTTGATGGTCCTTTATTACCTGCCAGAGTGCCCACAGGACTCAGGGAAGACATAGGGGAACAAGCACGCTGTCATCCTGAGGGCAGTGTTTTGAACTTGACGAATGTGGCTCTCTGCATCCGCATTATCTGAGGGTGCTTGCTAATTTTTGGGCCCTACTCCTACCTTCTCATTAAGATACCTGAACTTAGAGTCCAGGGATTGGCATTTTGAGAAGGACTTTAGGTGAATTTTCAACACACTGATTTAAAGATCTTTTGCTCGAGCTTACTATATCGGTCATAATTGAATCTTTTCTAACATGGCTTTTGAAATAATGTAACCTGTATCTTTTCGTCAGTATTTTTTTCCAGAGCATATGGTGTCTTTTGCAACTGAAACCAATGGTGAAATATCCCCCACACAGATTTTGCAGGTAAAATATATTTCCATTAAAGTATGTAAGTAACAGTGTAATAAAGGGAAACTTTAAGGTCCATATTTTTACATGCCCAGATTTTGAAATGTTATACCTCGATGGACGAATTTTTGCTGGAGGTGAACCTGAAAGAAAAGAAAGAATAGGGAAGAAAAGAACAAAACCTGAAAAAAGAAGTCCCTAAATCAGGAAAGGCTCCTAACACCAGTATTCTTTCTAGTTTTGGCCAATTGTCAAAGGATTTTCAGTGTTTAAAAAATGTGTTCAAAAAATGTGTATCATGAAAGGAAACTTGGAGAATTTTGCTCTGTGATGTGTTTAAAGACTATGTTAGCCTTTTTGAAAAATCAAAATCCCCAGTAAATTGTAGACATTTTGCTAACAGATATTTAGTATTAACCTTTATAACAAATGCTCCCAATCCTATTTGCGATAAAACATTTAGCAACTAAGTGAAAGGAGAAAAAAAGATATAAAAAATATATATTTTGTACATTGACGTGTCATTAGCTATGTTGGATACTTGAGCAGAATTCTGAATGTCTTAGCTGAATTAAGAATACTAGTTATTTAATTAAAAATCACCTTAGTTTTGCATCTTTGGGGCTCATTCCTTCCAAACTGGCAGTGGCTTTACGTGATCATTTTAAAAAGATATTTTCATTACAATAAAAGGATGATTTTCATTATTTTATTTTTTGTAGATCAGTAGATTTCACATCAGAAGCTCCGCAGTTGTTAACAGGTTAATGTTCAGCAATGTCTTTATAATGGTTACTGTTTGATCTAAGCCTGCGGATATGGTCATACCCACTCAGTATTCTCTGATCTTTAAAGAAGGCCGCTTTTAATATTTCCTATATAGATACTACTTTAAATATATTGGTATTTAAACATATCGGTAAATACATTGGGTGGTACGGATCTGTTTTCTATGGGCTTTTTAATAGGTTATATTTCATTTTTGCTCTTCATAATATTTTAGCAATATGATTAGTCTCAAGAGATTTTCCTAAAAGTGTCTTCTATGCTACCGGGTTTCGCAGACACCCCATCAGAATACTAGGCTGAATGGCAGGGGCAGCAGCAGCTGTGCGTGAGGACCCCCCCGGCTCCCAGGCCCTCTCAGTGCCTCACCACTGGATTGTGACAGGGTGGTGGGTTGGAGTTTTTATTGCACCTCCTTCCCCCAGTTCTTCTCTAATATAGTTATATTACTTTAATGTGAAATTACAAAAACAAGAAAAATCATAGCTTTGGAATCAGATATCCCTGCATGTGCCTCTGACCTTTTCTCTCCACTGAGGCAATGTTTCCACTTTTTAAAATGTTTCTTCTCTTTCTAGAATGACCTCTGCGACTCCCTTTTTAAAATTTAATTGGTTTGGTTTAATAACTTGGAAAGCACTCAAACTAAAAAACCTACTTGCCTGTTTTGCATGTCAATTAATAACTGTGGCTCATTACGTTAAAAAATTTTTAATAATTTACTTAAAAACATACATAGCTCTTCTCAGCATTTCCCTGAGTAGCCTTTTAAAATATGTCACATCATTTTAGGTAGTAATTTCTCTTACTTTCAGTTTTTCCATTTTGCATTTGTTTATTCATAGGGATTTCTGTTTTCTTCTTTGAATGAGATGCTAATGCATTTCCACTGTCTTATTAAGGATGCTGAGTACAACCACTCATACAGAGCTATTCCTTTTCATTCTCATTTTCCTGACCAGCACATGCCTACTGTCTCAGTTCATTATTACCTTGTAACAAACTATTCCAAACCTTAATGGCTTAAGTACCCACTCACGTTTTGCCAGCAATTTTGTGGGTCAGGAATTCCGAGAGGGTTTAGCTGGGTGGGTCATCTCTGAGGCACATTGACTCTCAGGGGGTTGAGGATCCCCTTCTAAGATGGCTTTTCACTATGTGTCCCTGCTACCCCTGGACCTCTCTTCTCTCCACATGGGGTCTCCATCCTCACGGGCTTTAATAGTGCATTGGCCTTCTCACAGCAGAGCTGTCTCAGGGTAGTCACGTTTCTTATGGGACCGCTAGCTTCCAGGAGTTAACTAGTGGAGGCCATCAGGCTAGTTAAGGACTAGAACTAGAATGAGCTGACTGTCACTTCTGCCATATTCCATTGGTTAAAGAGTCATAATAAGCCTTGCCCAGATTCAAAGGGGGTAGAGAAACAGACTCCAGCTCTTCATGGTTAGGTGGCAAGATCACCTTGCAGAAGAGTATGTGGGATGGGAAATAGTGTCGCGGTTCTTTTGGAAAACACAAGGTGCCACAGCCACCCCCCACTGAGCCCCACAGAGGACAAAGAAAAGATTGTTTGCTTTACCTCATCAAGGAGGTGAACTCGGCTCAACTTTCTAAACAATTGAATAATTGAAGTCAAGATCATGGTCTTTTACTTATACTGTAATGAAGTTGATAAGCGCCCAGGGAAAATCATAGAAAAGGATGAAAAGTATCAGGACTTAACTCTTAGATGAAATCTAGCTTTCCAAATAGACATTCAAATAACTTATCATTTTGCTGTTTGGCTAAGTCCTGACCGCTTAGAATGTATATTTTGTGAACAGATTTCCATTTGGAACTTGCCTCAGGTTATCGAAAGACTGATTTATTTTCTGTTGTATTTATATTGCCATGCCTGTAATGATACGTTTAAGTGGTATTGACACTGTTAGAGTTCACATGTCTATATTTGAAATCTTAGGTTACTATAAGGCTACAGTATTATCGATTCAGAAACAGCATGAGGATGTCTAACTTTTCTTGCAGATGTTTCTGAGTTCAAGCACATACCCTGAAATCCATGGCTTCTTACATGCAAAAGAGCAGGGAAAGAAGTCCTGGAAAAAGATTTACTTCCTTCTAAGAAGATCTGGTTTATATTTTTCTACTAAAGGGACATCAAAGGTAATTGAAATGTCCATGATGTGTTATGAATTATAAGTGAAAGTGGGTTTTACTTTGTTTTTATTAGTATATTACTGGATATCAAGAGTTGGTACATTGATTTTAGATCCCAGACATTTGCCATAATCTGTTTAAAAACTGACTATTCAGCTTTGTTCCCCACTAATTTCAACATACATCCTGTGATAGAATCTAGACGCTCTTATTTCGGGACCACATACTGTGCTCATTTCTTCTCCACTCCAAATTCACCTCCTCTTCCTTACCCTCGGTTGCAGATTGTGAGCTCTGGCACACGGTCTCCTCTTTTCACCCCGGGTCATCCTGCTGATCTTGTCCACTTCTGAACTCCTGTTTTTGTTGATGCAGTTAGTAACACTCAGCTGAGTCTGTAATTGCTCTTTAATTCCTTTGTGTGTGTGGTAGTTTTATCTCCTTAGCTAGATTATACATTCCTTAAAGGGAGTTACTTATATTATGACCAGGGGTGGATGCATGCATTCATTTGTGTGCTGGAGTGCATATACTTGTGCATACAGTCACATAGACACACTTGTGCAGATGCTCCCACACACCATCACTCGCCCATGTCATTCCCACCGTGCTCAGCACCGTGTTGTCTGTGTGTCTGTGTGGTCTAGTCAGTGTCAACTATGCCGTGTTTTATAAGTGCTGACGTTTTATGCAAAGCATTGATCTCTTTCAAGTAAAACTACTTTTGAGAGTTTTCATGGGTGGCTATTTTAATTCTGTTTTCATGCATCTGTTGTTGTCAAACAACATTGTTAATTCTTTGTGGGTAATCTGTCATTTTTCTCTGGAGGTTTTTCAAATATTATGATAATCATTGGTGTTCAGTAATTTCCCTGACCATATTTCTAGGTGCATTCAAATGTATTCTGATACATCTTACTCGATTCTCAACATATGCATTCAATCTGCAAATTTCTCTTTTTCTTTTATGCTGGAAATGTTCATCCATTATTTATTGCTCCCTCTCATTATGTGATCCTTTCAATTTCTGTAGGCTTTTCTGTCTTGGCTAGTCGTGGCTCCAGGCACCCCTTTGCTTGTGACGACCTCCCTCCAGGCTTTCTGTCTTTACATGGCCTTCTCTTTCTCTCTTAAAAGGACACTTGTCATTGGATTTAGGGCCCACCCAGATAATCTGAGATGGTCTCATCTTGAGATCCTTAACTTAATTACATCTGCAAAGACCCTTTTTCCAAATCATGTGGTATTCACAGTTTCTTGGGATGGGGGCAGGGATATATTTGGGAGGGGGGCAGTCACTCAATTCACTGTAGAAAGCCAGTGAAATATTTTGAGCAAGAGAGTGAGATGATCAAGTTGTAAGATTACTGTGGCCATAGGGAGCTTAAAATTAAAAAAATCAAGTGGGTAGAGGGAGAGAGAGAAAAAAGGCAATGAGGGGAAGGGAGCAAAGGAGGCAGGGAGTGGGGGGACAGAGAGAGAGAGAGAGATTGACTAGAGGCACAGATGCTAGTTAGATGGTCATTTCAGTAATCCAGAGTGGAGGTGATGGGATTTAACCTAGGATGAGCAGTGGAGGGGGAAGAAAGGGATGGAGAGAAGATTAAATGTCAACTGGCCAAGTTTTGTTGACTGATTGATGTGAAAGGAGAGGAAGCATTTTATGTTCCTAGAGAAAGAAATAAGAAATAGGCAATGATTTAATACAGTAAACAGGAATAGGAGATTTGCTATCACATTATCTTAGAAGTAGGATAATGATCTTAGTTGTAGATATATTGTGTTAAGGGTGAAGCATCCAAATGGAAATGCCCAGAATAGTTAATGACGGCGACCAGATATTCTGGTGATAGGGAGCCACAAGGAGTGACAGTTGACTCCTCCAAACTTTCCTCAGCTTTCCCTCATACACAGTTTTCCTTCATTGCTGTTCACATGTGTTCATGTCACATGTGTGTGTCTCCTTGAAGTGTAAGTGATGGAACAGGGCTCTGCTAATTTATTATCACATTCCCTTACAGAAATGTTTTGTTTTTTAAGTATATATCATTTGACTAGTAGTATTCAACTATTTTTTCTTGAACGTTTAAACTAGTTTTCAGATTTTTCTGTCAGGACTAATGTTAGGATAAATAATTACCTATTTCTGTAATTAAGGTTTTAGACTTTCTCTAGTCTAAATTTTAGTGAGATTGCTCTTTTCCCTGTGTTCCTAAGTATAAAATTACATATGAAGGTGTTTTTTAAACAAATACATACATATCTTTTATACTTTTAACATCAGAGAAAAGTGGCTTCTACATCCAGTAATCATGTTGATCCTACTCTTTCCAGTGAACCTTCACTGGAAGATATGATAATGTTTCTTTAATTCCTAAATTCTTATTTCTTCAACACGTTTCTCATTAAAATCAACTGCCCATTATATTTTTACTTCAGCCTTCACCTCCTTTCCCTGCCCACCCATTATACAAAAGACAGCTCCTTATTCCTTCTACTGGATCCACGCTTTTATCCTTGCAATGGTCTTCCCCTTGGCCAGGCAGATTACAAACATCAAACTTCTATTCTCAGTCCATATCTTAGCTCTTTTCAACATAGTGTCTGACTTAGCTATACTTCAGTACATAATATTCTTCTCTCTAGCCTGTGTCTAATGAGCTCATGTTCCACGGTCTATACATGAAAATGATTTGCAGTTTCCCCTCAAAAAAAAAAAAAAAAAAAAGAAATACAAGGTATTAGGTAACCTCAAGGATTATGACCTTGATATAAATTATGCATGTTATCTAATGTCTGATACGACATTTCTGCCTGGGAAAGAGACCATTTCCTGTCCTTTTTCTGTGAGAAGGTCTTGATTTATTGTACTTTCTGAAGATGTGGGCTGCATGGGAGTTAGTTAACCACTGCTACAAGCCTTGGAGATGTGGCTCTGACTTTTATTTACAGAGAAACGTCTAAGTACGCCTTTCTCCCACTCTCCCCTTGTATACACACATGCATGCATAGCCTTTGCTGAACATGCCAGCCCAGGCTTTTAGTCTTACAGTATCATAAGCCTTGCTCTGTCTGCGCTAATGGAGCAAAAATCAGTCAAGAGATGAGATTCATCATGCCTTCTAGAGTTTCTCAAGCTGCCTTTTTTTCTTACATCCAGAGGACTCAGCTACATTGACTTCTACAGTGTCAGTGGACAGGGCTGGTTTTATCTTTTCTTCATAGGAATCAGACATTTTTACTAGCAAATCAGTTTCTATCAAAAAATAGTTTTAAAGGCCATGACAGTAAGAGTACCTTTCTCCTTCCTCTTCCCTTGTTCCAAGGGCCCTAGGCTGGGTCTCTTTCAACAGTTTTCTTTTCTGCCTTATTCTCCCATGGAGATGGGAACTGTAGTCATTCATTAGATCAAAATGCCTAAGAACAGTGACACACAGAGGACAGTGACATACACAGAAACTCTCGCTCTTCCGATCATCAGGGATGGAATAGCCCGCTGGTAAATGACTGAAATTTTTTTGGATTTGGATTTGAATGGGTTGCTCAAATTGCTGAATGTTCTGGGTTTTCTGTCTTTTCGGTTTTGTCTTGTTTTAGAGCACTGCTTCTCAATTTTCAGTGCTATGAATCACCTGGGATCTTGTTAAAATGCAGATTTTGATTCAGTAGGTCTGTGGTGGGGCCACAGATTTTTGCATTTCTAATAAGCTCCCAGGTGATGTCTGTGCTCCTGGTCGGGGACCACACTACTACTAGCAAGGTTCTAAAGAACAAATGCATTTTGGTCGGTTTTGATTATACAACCAACCCCAGAATTAAGCACTTCTCCAAGTTATTAACCTATCACAGAATAATATGACCCAGTGATTTCCCATGGCCAGCTTTAAATCTCATGGATCTCCCAGAGAAGAAACAGCTGTTCATGATTCCCCTTTACCTTGAAAACCAGACACATTCCACTGCCAGGTAATTTCCCGGAACTCATCTGTACAGGCCTCCTTGTTTTCGTACGGAAGGTAGTGATGCCGCCTATTTCATTGCTGGCTGTGGTGTCCCAGGCGGTGCCCACATGTGAGGGGGCCTTTGCTAAACAGAGCAGGAGTCCTCGTCTCTTTCTTCTTTTTCTTCTCTGACTGCTGTGGAAGCTCAAACCACCCTTCTTGTCTTTGCTGAACTACCATTATTTGAAACCTGGACCAGGAAAACATTTTCAAAAGCCATTCTTTGCTGCCTTCTCTCCCTGAGATTCCTGAAACGGTGGTTAAAGAGAAAAATTTTAAAATAGGAAGATAAAAATTTTTGCATATATTGGCAGTTAAATGATAAACAAACCACTTTTCAAATAATATTGTATCAAGCTCCTGGTTCTTGACGGATATAGTAACTTCATTTTTCTTCCCTTTTTGTTTCTGTGCCATTGTTCGGAATAATTTTTTGCCAAGGTAGAAATTGTGTAATAGAATAGAAATACAAAAGAGAATGTGCAAAAGAATGGATTCATTTCAACACTCACATCTGTATCTTTTTAAAGGAACCCCGGCATTTGCAGTTTTTCAGCGAATTTGGCAATAGTGATATTTATGTGTCCCTGGCAGGCAAAAAAAAACACGGAGCACCGACTAACTATGGATTCTGCTTTAAGGTACAGGCTTAATATTTTGATAGATGAATAAAGCAAGCCTCAGCCTTTTAGGTAAGCTTGGGTTTCTTTTAATTTCTTTTAAAAAAGAGACAGCTTTCTCTTATATATAGGAGAATTTTAGTGGCTTTTATTTCAACAGGTGTTACCTTCAAGATATGCATTAACGATAAACAATGTGCTGTGGCCTTCTAGCCTAACAAAGCGGGAGGGCCCCGAGACCTGAAAATGCTCTGTGCAGAAGAAGAGCAGAGTAGGACGTGCTGGGTGACCGCGATTAGATTGCTTAAGGTAATCTCACTGCAGGCGTGAATTTCTATTAATGCTGTGAGTGCCATCAAAGTTTGAAAATGTCTGTATTTCAAAATGCGAAGACTCACTATAAGTCCATGTATCCAAATGTATGTATTTTTTTTTTAATCTGAAAGATAAACATTAGTAGAGTGGAGTAGCCTAAATGCATTTATCTTGTGCATGTAGATAGAGTAAGTATTCCATTTTTAGAAATGCTCTGAATTTTATTTTTTTCAAGAGTTATTACATATATAGCTAGTATAACTCATTAAAACTTCTATACCTGACTCAGTCTACATTTTTAAGATATTGCCATCAATCCAACATGACGTGTATTTTAAAATGTGCGCACCTAGCTATGCTTAGTGCAGTTGTTTTACATTTCGTTTAAGTGTCGTATAAATTGCTTTCTAGTTTACTTCAAATTATTATGCAAATTTTACTTTAATATACTATTAAAACATCAACCTTTGTGTTAAGTAGAAATTACAACTTAAGTAAGCATAGTTTACTGGGGAGCATGTTGAAAGGAGTAAGAATGTTCTAAAAGTTATGTGGGGAAGAAAGACATAGAATGATTTCTTCTAGAATGTACAGAAAACACATTTAATTTCAAAACTTGTGTGTTAGTAAATTTAACACAACTTCATAATTATAAAAATTATCAACCATTTCCCTTTGAAGAAGTGCAGAATAATCAGAATCAGAATTATTAGTTGTCATACCAGGTTGGGAAGATTGTTTTAGTTTTTATTATTTTAATTTATTTAATTGAGGTGAAATTCACATAACATAAAATAATGGAATTAACTATTTTAATCAGCTGTGCTAATATGATGAGCATATTATTAGCTGTGTTCATTTTAACTATGTGAACAATACGGTGCCATTTAGTTCATTCAGAATGTCGTGCACCCACCCCCTCTAGCTAGCTTTTAGCTCCAAAACATTTTTATCACCTCAAAAGAAAACTGCATACCCATTAAGCAGTTACTTCCAGCCCCTGGCAACCATCCATATCTGTGTCTGTCTGTATAGGATGTCCCTATTTCGACACTTCATAGAAATGGAATCCTACAATAGCTGACGTTTTGGGTCTCACTTCTTTTATAAAGCATAGTGTTTTGTGGTTCATCCACCTTATAGCATATATTATTACTTGGTTCCTTTTTTATGGCTGAATAATATTCCATTGTGTGTGTGTATACATACATATGTACATACATACATACAAACTGTTAGACTGTTTATTTATCCATTAATGGACATTTGGGTTGTTTGCATCTTTTGACTATTATGAGTAGTACTGCTATGAACATATGTGTTCATGTATTTATTTGGATACTTGTTTTCAATTTGGAGGGTATATACCTAGGAGTAGAATTGCTGGTCATATGGTAATTCTGTTTAACCTTTTGAAGAATTGCCAAAATGTTTTCCACGGTGGCTAAACTGTTTAATGTTCCCACCTGCAATGTATGAGAATTCCAATTTCTCCATATCCTTACTAACACTTGTTATTTTCCTTTTTTAAAAAAATAATTATCCCAGTGGATGTGAAGTGGTATCAGCAGAAAAATTTTTAGATGGCTTAAAGGAAGCTTTTGGATTAACTCTGAAATTTGCTTCCTTTTGCTGTTATAGCAGATAGCCATTGTAGTTAGCTTTTTACAACAGGTTTGTTTTTCAAATAGTCTGCTGTTAAATGACTGTCATGATTTTGGTTTCAACAAATCTTAGAAGTCTTGATTCTTTGAAACCCCCATGGTAAGTAATTGCTTCTATGTTGCTCTCATTGTCATAAAATGTAAAAAAAGAAAAAAGAAAAGCACTTTAGAGAGTGTTGGGAACCAACCAGTCAAGGAAGTAATAACTAGTTAACTCAGGATGTGCTTTGGAATCACCTGAGGAGTATTCTGAAGTTCTGTGTCCCCAGCCCCATCCTTGGGGATCCCGATTTAGTGAGTGAACTCCAGGTGTTTGTCTGACTAAGAACCAGTGACCTCATCCAGTCCTCTTCTTTTGCAGATGAAGAGGCTGACATGTTTTGGAATACTTAAACCCGACATAGTTATAGTCAGAAAATACCTTGAGGTCTCTGGTTTTCTCTTTCCTTCCATCAGAACTCTGGAAATCAGGCTAGGCTAGTAAAGGAGATGCTTTCCAACCTGGTTAGTCAAGGCTTCCTCCCTTCTGGTTTGATCTCAAGGTCAGACACCCAACTCCAAAGCAGGTGGTAAGAACACTTCCTTTAATGCCACTGATTTTACTAGGATACCATTATTTTTTGTATAAGTAGAAAGAAAAGAAATATGCCAATAAAATTATGATATGATACTTTCATATCCCTTGTGATTTTTATTTTCATTTAGTTACTTTAGATTTATTTAGGTCTATAGGTGTAGATTTTCATCATTTATCAATTTTGTGTACACACACATACACACACACACACATATATGAAATAAATTATGAGAGGCATCTCTGAAACTTCTTCATGTTCTAAGTCTAGCTTTCCCGAATCATTTTTATCTCAGATCCATGGCTACCCATATTTCATACAGACTATCTCACTCTGTGCTGTCCAGAGCTTCAAGGAGGCCGAACTTAGACAGGTGCGCTGCCATGGTCTCTGGAATTGTCTTTCTAGCCCTTCTGCAAGGTTCGATGCAAATGATTTCTTGATCTCACCAAACATTTCAGGCAGTGACAAGTCACTTGGTCCACAGTGAATATAAGATGCTATAGTTAAGGCAAATTTTTATGAATGTTAAATTTGAAAAGAAGCATGTGTCCAAGAATTGGTGAAATATACTAAAAGCTTTTTTTTTGATCCTTCCATATCCAGAATGCTGTTCCTGGAAGATTGTCCCCTTCTCACTTTTTTCTTTTTTCATTTGATCTTTTTGAAGCTCTTTCAAGGCACAAATGTCCATCCAACTCAAAGATGGTCTGTTGTATTGGTTTCAATGGCTTCTGTAACAAATGACTACCACTTTAGTGACCTAAAACAACAGAAATTTATTATCCTACACTGTTGTCATTCAGAAAGTCTGAAATGGGACTTATTGGCCTAAATGCAGGGTGTCCAAGGACCTGCAGTCCCTTCCGGGGACTCTGGGGAAGAATCCATTTCTCATGCCCTTTCCAGACTTTACAGGCTGCCTAGATTCCTTGGCTCATGGTCTCTTTCTCTACCCTCAAAACCAGCAATGTCGAGCTAAGACCTTTTCATGCTGCGACTTCCTTCTCTTCTCTGCCTCCCCCTTCCACTTACTAAGGGCCCTTGTGATTATATTGGATCCACCTAGATAATCACCTAATTTCAATATCAGCTGATTAGCACCCTTAATTGTATCTGCCACATTAATTCCTCTATGCCAGGTAACCTAACATATTCCCAGGCTCCAGGAATTAGGATGTGGACATCTCTGGGGGCCATTATTCTACCTACCCCATCCATTTTCCCTGTGTGTGTGTATTTTTTTTTTTTCCTTTTTTAATTGTGGTAAATCTTTTCCAGGTAAGGCAGAGAGGGAGGCAGGCATCAAGGAGAACCTTTACCCTGGAGGCAATGATAAGCCACCAAACACTTTCAAATGGGAAAGTGATATGATCTGCTTTACCCTTTAAAATATCCAGATTCAGGAAGCCAGGGCTTGCTAGCACAGACACATTTGAAGGACTCTAATCAGGGAGTCAGGTGGTTTCCCCTGGCAGCTTGTCATCAGCCGGGCACCTGCTTCATCACGCTGGCTGGTGCACTGGACTCACATGGTGTTAGAGGTATCTTTGGATTTTCGACTCTGGTTGTCTATTGTATTTCCAGTTTATCACTGTGCTTAGTGGGAGGTGCAGGGACAGACGAGTCTGTTATGTTGACTGGACTGAAAGGGCCCCGGATTTTCTTCACACGCTATTTCCTAGATCCTGCCTCCTCCAAGAATTTGGCCTCTTGTTTTATTTTTAGTTCCTTTTCTTGTTCATACACACATGTGAACTGTTCATGTAGTAGCAGAGGAAGATCCTCCTGTCCTCTTTGGAGAAATAACAGTTATATGTAGATTCATAGAAAATCTGAGAATTGCTCATGTACAGTGTCCTGGTTACGTGTTGTCTTCTTCCCCTCCCTTCAAGTGGAACTCTGCTAGCTTCTTCCGTAATTTGGTCCCTTGTCTGCCCCTCTGTAGGACGGGGCCATTTTAAGGTGATTCATGCCCTACCCCTCCACCAGAGTTAAATGCCCCCTAAAGACCACCAACAGCACAGAAGCAACTACCTAACACTACAGGTATCAAGGACCATATTTAGGAAGGAAACAGGCTTAACAGTAGGTAGCTGGCTTTTCACTGCAGATAAATAAAAGGCGACCAAACAGCATGCATGTACCTTGTGAAAGAATTGGTTAGAGGTTATTGTATAGTCTCCAAAATGAACTTGACTAGGAATTAAACTCCTCTCTCTTCTTTTGATAGTTATGGTAGGTTTAGGGTTGATTTAAAGTAAATTTCATTAGGTCCCATTAATGTCAATCAAACTGTAAATTAAAAAATAATTTTTATAAGTTGGGAAATAATTGGATAAAGAAGTCAATAGAGAGAATTTTAAATGAATGTGGGTTTTTGTAGTCATGTTAAAAGCAAAATCTTGGAAACAGTGACTCTCCACGCCACCCTCTGATTTTTCTGCCTAATTACCAAATAGATCCACTTTGCTGGAATTGCTTTTAAGGAAATAGTCTTCAGGAGAGAAACAGCTCTGTTGGAATGTTTAAACGGAATTCATCCTAAGGGTGAGGTTGGATTCCATGGTGTCTCCTCAATCTCTTTTATATAGGACCTACTTCCAAGTTCATTGTGGCTCTGTGAAATAGAATTGTTGAGGGTAGCCAGAAAAAAAGAAAAGAAATGTAAAGGCCTCTCTGTCCCATTGTGGTTTTGCTTTGTATTCTTTTTCTTTTGTTTTTTTGTTTTTTAAACAAAGTGGATTAAATCTGAGGGGAGTACCTTATAGCTTCAGATGGTGAGCCCTCCAAAATAAGTTTGGTCATGGCAGTTAGCATTCTTAATTTTCTCAAACCTAGTAATCCACATACAGTCCAGACCCACTTTCCAATAGTAGCCTGGCAGCTGAGTCTTGCGATGCTGCTTCCTGAAAATAAAGATGCTGCATTTTTCTTCTACTGCAGTTTACATTGTATTTTGTGACCCTTTGTGTGAGATCCCTGCCATTTTGATTTCCCTGAATTTAAAGCCAAAAATTAAACAATGCGCTAAGAGTAGTGTTAGTAGAGGATACTGCAGTGGCAAGAATCTTTAACGTAGGGCCAAGTTTATGGATTTGCCGAAGAGATGATATAATTCGTCCATCAGTCATTGAAGAGTTATGGTGAATTTTACTCTGTTTTGCTTAAGATGCGTGTACGGTTTTCAGACTCCTTGTTCCCTAAAGCCTGACATCCTTCGCAAGTGAGCTCTCTTTTCACTAGGTGATATACCATTCCTAGCGGTTTTGGTGCTAAGAATATTGAGTAGGAATGTCAGTTACAGATCTTTATACTGGCAAGCTGGACCTTAAGTGTGGTTTCAAGTAAAAAACTCTGTCTTTTTATTTTATTTATTTAAGATTTTATTTATTTATTTGTCAGAGAGAGCGCCCAAGCAGGGAGGGTGGCAGGCAGAGGGAAAAGCAGGCTCCCCGCCGAGCAGGGAGCCCGATGCGGGGCTCCATCCCAGGACCCCTGGATCATGACCTGAGCCGAAGGTAGACGCTCGACCGACTGAGCCACCCAGGGGCCCCCCAAAAACGGTCTTTTTAAATGTATCATTGTAAGGCAGTAAAAAGCTTACCTTTCAAAATTATGGTTGCCTTACCAATTTGTTTTAAGGAAAGCTTAAAATTTTTGTTTCTTATATTATGATATGTAACCAATTCGAGTATTGAGTTTTTTCCCCCGAGTTACCTGTGTAGTGAAAGTGATGGGAGTGTGTTTTTATTTATTTGTTCTGCAGTATGGCATGCAGCTGTACCAGAATTACATGCATCCCTATCAAGGTAGAAGTGGCTGCAGTTCTCAGAGTGTCTCACCCATGGTAAGGACCATATTTATTAATCTCTATATTTTATATTTACATTATATCAATTTGCAATAATATTGTATTATAAATGTACATTGCAGTACATTTACGTACTTTCCTTCTGGTCAACTAAAGTAAGTCTTTGACACCATCCTAACATAATGCTACTGAATTATTTATTCTTGGATTTCACAGGATTGCAGCCTATGTGATCGAGTCACAGCAGTAGAGTATCATGAAGTATTCGCTTAAAATAGATAATGTCATATGTTAAAGAAAATCTGTAAATATTTGAAAGTGTTATGTGAATCATTCTGTGTCATTACAACATTTGAGGATTAAATTTTAATATAATTTTTAGAATGTTTTCCTTGGGATTGTAGATGTTTCCTTAATTATTGATTTTGGTTGTGGGTTTATTTTAATATTGATTCTGGAATTGTCATACCCTAGTATAAACCAAAGCCAGTGGTTTGGAATTCTAAAAGCTGCACTATACACAGGTGAGCTCTTTTGCATCCTGGGCTTCTAACAATAAAATTTTTTAAGGTCTAGGTCCTTGAAAAGCAAACTGCTCTTCAGGAAACCCAAAAACCGCAAGCCAAAATATAGCTTGTGCATTACATTAAATCTAACACCACTTCTCAGATTTATACTAACTGCAACTTGAACGTTTATTTGCAGATACACATAGATGTATCTTTTCCCTTCTTTAGAATTTAATTTTAATTTATTGTGCATTAACACAAGAAATTTATTTCTGCACTTAAAAGTTTATGTTCGGCTATTTTTGCTCTTGCTCTCTAATACTGAGTATATTAGGAATTTGGGTGTATGTGCCTGTGTTACAAATCAGCTAACACGCAGCATTTCCACTTAGGTTAAAAATATGCTCCTCATGGCTGTGACCAAGGAAGGCACATTTCCCCACATGTAATGTAGCAGATGAAATGCTCAGTTCTAGGAATGAGGCATGAAATAATGTTGATTACAAAGTCTGATAGACTAATAGGGAAAAAAGAACACCAATTCTGGAGTTACGTTGCTTTAGGTTATGGAAGAGTAACTTTTCATCTTTGTATCATATTACTTTTAAGCCCTAAAATAAGAAACTAAAGACTGGAATGAATTTTTATAAAAGCAATGGCTTTAGGTGAGTATTTGTATAATTTGTCAGCTTACCTTTATCTTTCAGTCCACATGTATATAAAGAATAATGGATTTTATTATCTTAATCCTTTTCTAAATCCTTCTAAATTTCTTTTAGAGTCTAAAGTTATTAGGATGAGCATGTTAATAGCAGCCATACGTTTGGAGGCAGTTGCCTAGTGTCCTCTTAATCATAGGGAAAAGATGTCATAAACAAAGTACTGTATAGTCTCATTGCTGTCGTTAGCATATAAGCTTGGTATTAGTCTTGCCACTTTCCACTGAAAGTGGCCCTATTGTTGATCACTATGTACATGGCAGTTTGGTTAGTGTGACTTTGCTTGTTCAGCACCATGGATAGGGAAAGACGCTTCTTGAGTGAATCTGGTTGGCAATTTAGGGATTTTGTAGGGGGCCTGTGTAGTAGGACCTGGCTGTCCTGTATGGCAGTTGTCAAGATCAAACAGAATGGCTCTGGAGAATTATATCGCCACTCTTCTTAACTTACATGAAGGAAACTGAGATATTTGGGGAGGTATTTATGTTTACTTTGATGTCTATACAGAGTCCCACCTTTCTCGGTTATCACAGAAGAACCAGTGACCTATATAATGGATGCCAGTGTTCCTCACCTGCGTCGGCTGGTTTTCTTCCAGACACTGTCTCCAGTGAGAATCCTAGAAAACTCAGTATACTTCAGTTATATATTTTTAAAGGAACAATATTCTTAATTTCTCCAGGGATACATTTTGAGAAGGGAAATAAGAAAAAGACATGTCTTCCACCACTATATACAGCACATCATGGCCACCCCTATCTGCCTTTGAAATGAGAATCATCAGCAGATATTTCAGGAAGCCAAATATGTGGTCCTTTTCAGCACAAAGGAGCATGTGTTAGTATGGCCTTTATTGGAGAGAGGAGATGGGGAAAACTAGTCTACTCAAGTCCTTATTACTCCTCACTCTTGACCCTGAGCTAGACGTTGAAAACTGCACTTTCTTCCTTGTACCTCCCCCTCTGTGGTACATAAAAGAACCTGGAAAGAGTCTATCTGTCACTGCTTTTACCATAAGCTGCCCATGTGACCTTGGTTTAGTCACTGGTATCCTGCAGTGTGAAACAAGGGGGACAGTTGCATAAGTTCGGGGATCGATTACATCTCTTATGTCTCTGACACCATATGAAGCAGAGAGAATGATATCAGGAACTCCTGTGCCCTCTTGCTAAGGACCGTGCTGCAGGTTTATCTACATCTTTCAAATGGGGTGACAGAGAGTGTTGGCTGCTCATCGCCACCAACCTACACTACCTGAAAAACATTTCGTGTCCAAAGCTCGCTAGGAGTGACTGGATCTGATCTCAGAGTGTGGCCTGGAGAATCCAGGGTGCACCCAGGCCCCTTCTTTCTTGAAAAAAGAGGGATGTCATTAAAATCATGGACCCTTTTCCAGGGCTTGCCCTGTTCATTCCACCAGAAGAAAGAGCTAGAAAAAGGGACCAATATTTGAGTAATACACTGATTCTGAATGTTATCAACATTGCTTTCTTATGTGAAAGAAATTGAGCTGAAAATGACCTTTTGAGTTCAAGTCAGATTCCACTTCACTTCTATTTCTTTGTCCACCAAAGGTAAACTATTAATTTTTCATCCACCACCTGCTATTCAGTAGGAGCCATTTGCTATATTCCTGTGTTTTCCCTGGTGTAGTTAATGTAGCAAATGAAAATATTTATTTGTATTGTAGACTCCCTACTAATGTCAAGTAATTATGGAACATGGGACCTCGTTTTACGTTCTATCCTGTTGTGTAGTAGGCAAACAAAAACAACCAGTTATGTTAATTTTTCTTTCCTAACAGTATTTTTATGTTATCAGGACCTTGTGATTACGATGCCCATCTTGGCATGTGAAGTAGAGATCTTATAAGGACAAAGCTATCATTATGATTGAGATTAGTTACTCTGTGGTTTGGACAGGTGAAGGCTTTTCATTAGTGTCCACAAAGCAGCAGTGTTTCTGACTAGTCTCCAGCCCTGCACAGAAGATCACGCGGGGAGAAGGGCAAACGAAGGTGTGACAGTAGATAGAGATTACAAGGACAGCATCTTTCTGGAAAGAGCAGATGTCTGTTACAAAGGCTCCTGTAACAAATGAAAGATTGCCTGCCGGATCTCTGGAAATACAGATGAACCCTAATAAGACTGTGGGCCACTACAGCAGGGTTTAAAGAGGAGATAGCAAATGCTAATGACATAGGATGTATGATGCAGTGATAAGTGAGCCCCCCAATTTTTTTGCGTGGACGAGGTGTTCTTTTAAGCATACATTTGACTAGTCTTTTAGACTAAGCTAGGAAGGTCTGAATCCATGTGGAGAGATATGAAATGGTCTTAAGCCACGAATCTCCAGAGGCACACCAGCTCTTCCTTTACCATTAGAACTCCATTCTTGGTTTCGCTCCTCTATTAATGAGTGGGGAGTAAGTGTTAAACATCGTCCATTGCTGGTTTTGAATGTTTTTTTCCTTTGGGGGAGTGTTACTTCTTCTTTTTTTTTTTTTTTTTTAAAGATTTTTTATTTATTGAGAGAGAATGAGAGAGAGCACATGAGAGGGGGGAGGGTCAGAGGGAGAAGCAGACTCCCTGTTGAGCAGGGAGCCTGATGTGGGACTCGATCCCGGGACTTCAGGATCATGACCTGAGCCGAAGGCAGTCGCTTAACCAACTGAGGCACCCAGGCGCCCGGGGAGTGTTACTTCTTACGAACTGACTGAGACTCTTGACTGGAGATTTGATAATTGTCTTTTTTTTTTTTTTTTTTTTTTTAGGATGCATGACTGGGAATGGCACTCTTTTAAAAAGGTGGTTGCAAAGTAGAGCCCTAAACAATCAAAAAGTAAAACTGAAGTCCAGGTTTGGACATATTCCCCTTCAGAGAATATGAAGACAAAAAGTAATGCCAAAGGAAGTCTGTATTATTTGTTTAAATTAGGTTTGCTTGGCGATGTCTTCCTTCTATATCAGTTCTTTTTTTTGTCGGTCAGATTTATTTTTGCAGCTCTCAGTTTTCCATGTGCATCCTCACCAGATGAAAATATATTCATATAAGTAAATCATAGAAATTTTAATATTATGGAATTAGTAGAGTCATTATTTCACTAAATTTTCTTTTCTTCTTTTAAAGATGTATTTATTTATTTGAGAGAGAGAGGATGCTTGCACGTGTGCATGGGCATGAGCTGGGGGAGGGGGGAGAATCCTCAGGCAGACTCCCCACTGAGTGTGGAGCCCATCATGGGGCCCCATCCCAGGACCCTGAGATCATGACCTGAGCCAAAATCAAGAGTCAGAGCTCAATGGACTGAGCCAGCCAGGCACCGCTAAATTTTATTTTCTAAGTAAGATGAACATTGATGTGATACAGTTTTAAAATACGTATTGTAGTTTGTTCCATTATAAAATATGAGTACTCTTTCTTTCTCAAGAAGTGATGTAAGTCAATCTAAGTTACAGCTTTTGTCTATTTTGAATCTTATAAAAGAGCTGCTTTGTCAGTAGATAGGGTTAACATTTAAATGATAATGGGTGAATCTCAAATCATAATAGAGATTAGTTCAGAAGTGGTGGGTCTTTTAGCCACAGGAAGAGTTACTCCTTTCTAAATTGATGTTTTCCCATTTTACCAGAGAATATGAAGAGATAGGGTTCTTTTAAGAGAAAGACATGCTAACTCTGAAAGCTTTTAATCTCTTTACTCAACCACTTAAATCAGTGACCTTAACAAATAATTGTGTAACTTATTTAACCAAAATATTTCATAGCACCCTTTTTATCTTAAATATGCACTTGTGACTTTTTAAATTTCCTGCCAGCCACCTTTGGAATCACATTCTAGAGTGGAAATGTATTGCCAGCAAAACATTAAGAGAGAACATTCAGAGATATTTTCATGGTAAAAAACATGTGTGTTTTTTTCCCCCCAGAGAAGTATATCAGAGAATTCTCTCGTAGCAATGGACTTCTCAGGACAGAAAAGCAGAGTTATAGAAAATCCCACGGAAGCTCTTTCAGTCGCTGTTGAAGAAGGACTCGCTTGGAGGGTACAAATAGCTTCACATTCTTCACAGTATTTATGATTTGAGTTTGTCTCACCCCAAAAGTTGAAATTTGTTTCCCCTTTCTTTGCACAGAAAAAAGGATGTTTACGCCTGGCCACCCACGGTAGCCCAACTGCCTCTTCCCAGAGCTCGGCCACAAACATGGGTATGTTTGCGCCTATTCACGGGGACTGCATGTCTGGATGGATGGGCACTTGGGTGAGGTGACTGGGTAGCTCTGGTAGAAAGTATATGTGATTAAATTGGGAGGATTTCAAACAAAGCTCTGTATTCCTCCATTTTATTTCTTCAGCCATCCACCGGTCCCAGCCATGGTTTCACCACAAAATTTCTAGAGATGAAGCTCAGCGATTGATTATTCAGCAAGGACTTGTGGATGGGTAAGTTTGATTTTGAATGGTCGGGATTTTGATTTCTCTTAGAATCGGTATTTACTTAATACACATAGTTTTTACTTCAGCTTATCGTAAAACAGAAGTGACTTTGTTCTAGAGGTTACCATCATATCCTAGCCATATCTATATAATGCCTGTTACATCGTGTGTGCTTAGCACTGGTGCATAAATGAACAGATAACTGAATAGGATGCTCTGCTGTTAACTAATGATTACTAATATTACCCATTCTGTGCCTACTAGTATCTCAGTTAACACTGAACTTGTTTTGAGGTGTCAACAACATATGATTCCAGAGTAAGGTTTGTGTCATGACATAATCTTACATGTTCTATATAGTTTTAAGTTTGATGCAGAGTGTATTCAGTTAAAACACTCTTTCTTTTATATTTTGACTGCTTGTTTTATTTTTTTTCTCTGTTTACGTTCCTATTTTCTCTAAATTTTCACAGCTTAAAATAGTGTAAATCTATGAAAAGAGTACTTCTCGAGTGTTTCTCATGTCATCTTTTAGTGGGGTACCACGGGAGATACAAGAGAAATGTAAATTGTATTACAAAATATTTACAATCTGAAGAGTTTTCTTTTTCTCAAATGACTCGGTAGTTCAAATACTTCCTGGAATACTGGCTAAATTCCCTTTTCAAATGCACTGCAAATCAAGGAAGTTGTATTGAGGTTTGGATGAGAAATAAAACCAGCATCAATTTAAACAAGTGGTGATGGGGTCTTTTATCTTCAAGGGTTGGCTTAAGATGATGACAAGATTTCAAGGTGATTTAATACTGACATTTGGATAAAAATGCATCTTCACATGGACGATTATTAATAGCAAGTCAGCATTTCACTAGACTCTAAATAAGAGATTTTAATATACTTCTCTATGTGGAGCACAGTCTCTTTAGATGTAAATTTCAACAATCAGCAGAATTACAATCTGATGAGACCAAGAAGAGAAATAAATCATGAAGAATCATTAAAATGTTTTAGAGGATTATAATTTCCCTATTTTCAGAGCCTAGTTTTTATAAGTTGAATGAAATAATTGCAAAAAGAAGGATAATATCTTTATTTTTAAAAATTTTTAATAAAAAATTGGGGTGGGGCTTGGTGCAGAATCCTTTGGAAAGATGCGATGATGCCAGGCAGTCCACTAGATGGTAGTGGTGATCCGCTTGGGAATGGAGAAAGAATTACAGCTTGCTTTATGAGTGAACCTCCCTTTTGTCCCATCTCCCAGTGATGTAATGTAGGAATCTCACACAGTACAAATGAAATGGATAATCTCATCCGACATCTGTGATGGCTCAAATTCCATGCCCAGGCACAGTGAGATTAGTATTGGAGTCACCAGAGGGGATTGTTTGCACAATCTGTTTGCCAACAATTAACACGAAGCTGGTTTTGCACTGTATTGCCAGTAAACGAGAATCCATGCCTGGCAGCGTTTTTCTCTTAGGCCATTAGGCCATGTCTTAGATTTTGCAAGCCTGACATTATAGAGGCTTTTCTGCTGCATTCTTCAAGATTAAAATATATGTTGTTTGGGTGTTTCTTTTACTTAAAGCATTGTACTCAAACATTTAATAGATGATTCCGGATTGATTTTTTAGAATATATTCATTTCTCACTTTCCGATGTATATGTAACATAGGAACCCGAGTCGGAAAATAAAGGGAGATCAGTGTTGAAGAGGGGTTTAAAATGATTTCGTTCTAAATAATTTTCTCTTTTCAGGGACTAACATAACCCAGAAGTTAAAGTAATAATATGCTAATGCCCCATTCTCTGCACACACGTGTTACATGTGAATACCCAATTCTCCAATGGTAAAAGAACATAACACTAATTATTGATGTCAGCACAGCACTATATTGCTTATTGTGAGTGAACAATCTGACAAACAGGTTGTGTATTTATCCTATTAAAGTGAAATTAGCATTGATGACAGTTTTCTAGTATAAGATTATGTTATACCATATTGTTTACCATGTTGGATAATCCCATCATTGAATACACAGTAAAGGAAAACTCTTGGCTACATTTATAAATATATCTCCTGGATTTGTTACATGCTATATTTTTATGAAATACATAAGTAAATATAGAAACATATTGAAATTCCTTCTCTCTCTTTAGAGTTTTCTTGGTACGGGATAGTCAGAGTAACCCCAAAACTTTCGTACTGTCAATGAGTCATGGACAAAAAATAAAGCATTTTCAAATTATACCAGTAAGTAATTTGTAATTTCACATTCGTATATTAGAGATGATCTTAATGCATAAGCTTTTGGAAACTTTGGTTTTCTTTGGATCTTTTATTAAATATAACTGGGGAGCTTGTGCTTTGACTAGACTTAAGTTTGGCAGAAATGGTTTTATGAGCCTGAATTAATATAAGAAATACAGGAATTGTAAAAATTAAATTTCCCTTTTTCCATGAAATATGATTTACCAATATTGTATAGACCCCATGCCACCTATTGTTAAAAGGCCACTAAAGATTCTTTCTGAATTCTACTGGAGGTTCTTTAAAAACCATTATTTTCAAACCCTTCCTCCTTTCTTATCTCAAACATGTTTTTTTGTTTTCTTTTTTTTAAAGATTTTATTTATTTGACAGAGAGAGATACAGCGAGAGAGGGAACACAAGCAGAGGGAGTGGGAGAGGGAGAAGCAGGCTTCCCGCCGAGGAGGGAGCCCGATGCGGGGCTCGATCCCAGGACCCTGGGACCATGACCTGAGCCGAAGGCAGACGCTTAACGACTGAGCCACCCAGGCGCCCTGTTTTTTTGTTTTTCTTAGTTTTGTTTTTAATCATTATGGATAGATACCCAGGTGCTGCAGAACCGGAAAACATTTAAACTATTCTGAGCACTTTTCAAAAATTTCTGTAATTCTGTTTCTGGGTGGCACAACTTGGCTTTGGGATTTTTGTTGCTTCTGCTGATGCTCTGTGTGTGTGTGTGTGTGCACGTGTGTATGCATGTGATCTGTGTATCAGAACCAGGTAGTGTGGCATAGAGATTCCGTCTACTTTCAGGGAAGTTTTACATAAGATTGCTACCTTGCTAGTGTTTCCTTTTGAATGGCCTCTTTTTGGAATTATCCAAAGCCCATATGAAGTATCTTACCAACTCCACTGAGTATGTAAATAATGTCCCTGGATGAGTATGAGTTGTTTAATGTCACAAGACCTCACTGCCAGAAAAAAAAAAAGAAGAAGCTGTCATCCCCTTAACATGTTTGATTGCTTCAGAATCAATTTACGGGTAGAAGTTATGTGAATATTTGTTTCTAATATACTAATTGAGGCTGTTAAATAGACAACTTTCAGATACGGAAATTAATTTCTGTGGGACCATTAAAATCTTTTGTTTACTTTTACACTGAATAGTGCAGATTTCTCACTGTTGATTCACAATAGTCATATTATTCTAACTACAGAACGTTGGGAGAATTTGAGGTATAGAAAGTAGAGCCCCCTGTGGATCCTAGGGTCAACTGATATTTCTTCTGTATACAAGTGAAGTTACAGAAAAAAAGTGAACACATCATAAGGTTTTTTTTTTTTTTTCACTATCTTTAGTTTCATCCACTTGTCCATTTTAGTGTATGAAGACACGGTATGTGATAGAGAATGATTGTCCTTGTGGGTTTTTGTCCTTCTTACCAGTTTGTTGTTTTCCTTCCAATAGGTGGAAGACGATGGTGAACTGTTCCACACCCTGGATGATGGCCACACGAGATTTACAGATCTAATCCAGCTGGTGGAGTTCTATCAACTCAATAAGGGCGTTCTTCCTTGCAAGTTGAAACATTATTGTGCTAGGATTGCTCTTTAGCCAAACCAGAAGTGACTTATTAAACTGTTGAAGAAAAAGGACTCACTACCAAAAAAAAAAAAAAAAGAAAGAAAAGAAAAGAAAAAGAAAGACCATAAACAAGGGAGAAAACGTTGCCATGGTGAAAAGAATCTATTTCACCTACAAGTTACAAAAAATAGCTTGTGCATTGCAGATAAGCAAAGATTTGGATTGACATTACATTCATCATCTAAAATTCATTAGTTAAAATTAAACCTCAGAAAAAATGATTTGGTGTGTTCTTGTGTGATTTTACATAACTATAGTATTTTCGTCAAATATGCATATAAAACATCTTTCTGTCCTCATTTACTAGAGTAGCATTTGAATTCTCAAACACAAAATATGAAAAAAAACTTGAAGGTTCTGGATGAATTATTTGCAGACTGAATTTCAATTACACTACTTTTTTTGTAACTTAAGAAGAATGATAAAATCTCAAGCTCTCAATTGAAAAAGCTACCCACAACTTGTTAATTAAACTAAAAAGTATTTTGAATTATATATTTTCTGAGTTTATTGTAACCTTAAAATCAAATCATATTTCTAAGTATCAGCTTAAAATTATTTTGAAATATGTTGGGTTTTTTTCAGGATGAGTTTTATTAGGTTGTTAAATTATTAACTATACTCTAATATTTACACTGTTACCTATTAGTGGCACATTATTGATTGCATTTTATTTCATTCTTTTAAAGATTAACCGGAACCATCTTTTCAAAGAAAATGATCAAGATATAGAAGGGCTTTATATAATTTGCACATGGCTTCTTGTGGCCTGTAATCTATGACAGTTGTCACCTTAATATTTCGCATTTGCCCCCTGTTGTAACTTTCAGAAAGCTCTTTAGATCCTTTCACTACTCAATCATGAACCTGATCAAAATTGGTGAGATTAAAGATTCAACATTTATAAAGTTCCTAGTACGCAAATTTGTGCTATTCTCTTTGCCTAACCCCTTTTCAGTTTCTTACCTGGGCAACATCAATATGGAAACCAAAGGTTTTAAAAACTCAAAACACTCACCTCCCTTATCACCTCTCTGAGACCATCTGGGAAGTTTTTGTTGGGATTCTGTGACTCTTTTCTTCCCCCCTACTTTTTGTGGGATGGCTATTCACAGTTTAAGAAAAGAAAAACATCAAATTAAAATCATTTGAAATATGCCCATCTCTTCTAATTGATCCTCTAACAACACTGTGGGAAAGTTAGGAAGATTTTTTATTAAAACATTTCAAAAATGCATATTTTGGTTTTACATAAAGGTTATACAGTTTTGGCAACAAAGCATCTGAAAACATTCATGAAGTGCTACTAAACCAATCATTACTGAAGAAAATATTGGTGGAATATAAAAAAATACTCAGTTTACTTTCAGCCAAGGCAAACCTAATTCTTAAAACACTGAAACTTAGTACATGAACCGGATGTTATAAAATATCCATCTGGTGTCCACAAGGGCTCAGAAGACACACAGGACCTCCATCCACATGGGAGGGCGAGAGGTAAACACACTGGCCCTTTCAACCTTTCAGAATAGCCCTGAGTATTTCTGACTTATTTCCAATTTATAAAAATAGTTCGTGTTTTGAATTGAAATGCATTTTCTCATTGTGCACCCAGTTTAAACTGACACTTTCAGGAATGTCATATTTTAAATACTAGACTCGTAAATGGACCAATCTGTGCTTGTCTTTGTTATTTGTGTCTCTGACTTCATTCACAATCTAAATTTATTATTTTGGAGCCCAGATGTTGTATGTAATTGCTTACTTTAATCTTAAAGCATGAGTCAAGCAAAATTACTGAGGAAAGGTAGACATTATCCTTCACGATTCCTTCTGATAAATAGGATTTTGAATGTGTATGTTTGCGTGTACCCGTGTGTAAATCTGATATGAAATTAAACCTGAAAATATCAGACACATTCAGCATTAGTACAGTATTAAAATGGATTTCCAAGAAAAATGTGAATTATCTTTGGATTATTTTTCATTTGATTTAGCCAAGTTCTACTATCTTACACCATTTCGGATAAGGATTAAGACATATCAGCTCGTATTTTCTTCTGTTTTCTTTTCATATATTGGAATTAGTATGCTCCACTCTCCTAGAAGGAAACTCTGCAGACTGTCTGGTCTGTGTTGTTTTTAATTTCCTTATGTGGAAGAATTAAGTAATTATTTTGAAAACCTTCAGGAAACCCAGTCACACAAGATAAAATTTTTAGGAGTGTTTCAATTCAGAATAACTACTGTGTCACATGTGTAATGGTGTAATCTCTGACTGATCGGAGCCCATGAGATGGGGATTTTTGTGCTAACTTTGTCTTAGGGTGGTCAACATCAGTTAACCAGTGTCTCACGTGGTCTCTAGCTTCCCATCACCAGCAACGCCAACTCTTCGTGGGAGTTGTATTATGATAATGGTGTTAGACTGTTCCGTGGATTATGACTTCTCTGAAAAGGAAAGTTTGTCCTTGCTGGTGGTTACAGCTTGGTGCTTTAATCCCTGGCTGCTCTGTTTGGAAAGCTGTCTTCTCTCTTGCCAGGCATGGTTAAGCTTTCCTGTGCCTTCTATCTGTCTCGCAGCCCAGTGAAATTTCTGGACCCCCTTCACAGAATGTCTTTTAACGCATAAAATAAGTAGAATTGCGAAGCAAATTAATGATAGAAGCATAACTACAATGTTACCTGTACCCCAGCTGGAAACGCTGCTGTGCGGTGACCGGCCGTGTCTCCCGGCTCTGTAAGGCCTCCAGTCTTCTGTCTTGTGTCCTCTAGAGAACACAGTGGGTGATCCTCAGTCAGTGTTACCCACACGAGTGGGGCACAGGATAGTTTGCTTGAGGTGCAGGGTTCTTGTAACACCGAACATTCAGCCAGATGGTCATCCCTGCCTCTCGTGGGAAGGACCACCTCCTACCGGCCCTGGCTGCCACATTTTTGCTATCTGGGATGATGCTTGCAACCCAGGCACTTTCGCGTTGTCTCTAATTGCATACACCACAGGCCACAAATTATAGATGTGAACCAGAGAAGAGCCAGACTTTTGGGTGAGCACGTAACTGTCCTCACCCAGTTCATTGCAGAGATGCCCCAACTTGAGAAAGGTATCCAAGTGAATTTCTTTTTTTTTTTTTTAAGATTTTATTTATTCATAAGAGACAGAGAGAGAGAGAGGCAGAGGGAGAAGCAGGCTCCCTGCTGAGCAGGGAGCCCGATGCAGGACTCGATCCCAGGACCCTGGGATCATGACCTGAGCCGAAGGCAGACGCTTAACCATCTGAGCCACCCAGGCACCCTCCAAGTGAATTTCTAACCAGCCTTTCTGTGGTTGGGAGGCCAGGTGGCGAACCCTTTGCTGTGTCAGTTTCCTCTGTAATTATAAAAAATTCACCACTTCTTAATTCAACCCCACCTAATACATGAGGTAATAGAAACTAGAGTTTAGATCATAGCCATGAAGTCCTACTTTTTGGATTTGAACTCCAGCCCAGTACATAGTAGCTACGTAGCCTTGGTCAAATCCACTTCTTCATTTCCGTAGAGGGGATCACCATTATCATTGCCATCACTTCTTACGTTATATCATTCATGTAAAATGCATAGCTGTCTTATTCTGTCTAGAATCTTAATTGATCTATTTTTTATCACATGAGTGACTGTACATTTAGGTACTCCGCCTTCCTGGAATATTGTCCTTTCCACTCCTGGGTGTCTTCACTCTGCCACCACTCGTTTGTCCCTCCTGCCACGAATATTACTGTGCACAGTATATATCTTGACTCTGCCCTGGCTTTAGTCCTTGTGAGACTGCGCTACTGGAAGCAGCCATGGTTACAGTATTGGGGGGGATGCCCAGCCCATTCATAGGGACCTGTGGACAACTGTCCCCACCTGCACCAGAACTTATGGACTCCCGTGCTTTCCTCCACTTGGCTGATTGAAAACAGAAAGTGAGATTTGGGGGTTCTTACACTTTCCATCTCTTTCCCACCAAATAACAGGGATTGATAAGATGGGAAATAGAGAAGATTGAAAACCCTCTTTAGAGACCCTGCCCGGACAATGCAGGAAATGGGCTAATGCACAGCCGAGCAGAGGAGGATGAAAAGACTCCTAGGTGATTGGTGCATCCCTGAGAAATTAATAAAGTTTCACTGAATGAATGTGTCCCTACTTGTACACCCGTGGATTCTGCAGCCCTCAGCAGCTCTTGTCATGTTAGCCATCTGATTAGGAGCTGAAAACGGTGTTCTTACCTTGTGTGCTCGTCAAGTTCATTTCAGCATGTACTGAGTGCCTATTACATGAAAGGCACTTTTGAGATGCAAAATTGAATAGACTATAGGTATACAAGTATCAGTCGTAGAAGCCAGGCTGGGTAAGTGTTATACTGTTAGTACAATGGGAGAGAGACACTAGTTAAACTCGCTGAAAAATGGGATGGGTGCGGTGGGGCCTGGGGCTTGTAGGAGTTAACATTTGCAAACCTGTGAGCAAGAACTGTGCGGGACCAGCAAAGGGGGAATGGCAATGCCAGGCAGCTTGACAAGGGCACAGACTGAATTTAAGAGTTTTTTTTCAAGATTTTAAGTAATTTCTACACCCAGTGTGGGGCTTGAACTCACAACCCTGAGATCAAGAGTCACCTGCTCTACCAACTGAACCCAACTGGGTACTCCTGAATTTAAAAGTTTTTTAGCTGGGGTACCCAGGTGGCTCAGTTGGTTAAGCGGCTGCCTTCATATCAAGTCATGATCTCAGGGTCCTGGTATTGAGCCCTGTGTAGGGCTCCCAGCTCAGTGCTCTCCTCCCCTGCCCCTCTCCCCACTCACACACACACTCTCTCTCTCTCTCTCTCTCTCATAAATAAAAAATTTAAAAATCTTTTTTAAAAAAGTTACAATTTCAACAGATGTCATTGGAATTCTTAGAGAAAGACTTATTTTATTTGGATCATCTTTTTATAGGAAGGTGAGGCCTAAAGACTCCATGCTGAAAGAAATAGGTAAGTGCCAAGAACTCCATTTGGCATAGGAAGTTCAGAATTTAGGCATGA